AATATGCTTTGTGTTGGTAAGAAACCAACGGCATGCACATATACATCCATGTTCCCATGCAGGAAAAGGAGCCAGTGCCCTCCATCAATCAGTGCTGGGGATCAGGAGACTAGAAGAGGGCAGGAGCTCAGAACGCTGCTGCTATTTTTCTTTTTTGGGTCTCTGAAGCAGGAGCTCATGCTGTAGCCCAGGATGGCCTTGAAGTTGTGGGTGACTGAACCTTCTGCCCCAGTCTCCCCAAAAGTACTGAGGTTCCAGGCCATGGCTACTGACAGCAGCTCAGTGAGACTAAGTTGATGCAAAGCTAACTGCTCTCCAATTTCTGGAGAGAGAGCAGAGCTACTCTATGTTTACGGGCTGTTTCCTAACACACCTGGGAAGATCCAAGCAGGGAACTGGGCTCCAGGTCTGGCGACTGAACACCAGCAGCTCTTGTCCGCAGGGGGCTGTGAACTCCTACACCTCTGGTGGACCTGCAGCTGATGGGTTTGCCCTGGGCTTTCTTGTGGCTCCGCCCCCTACTGTGTGTGCCCCCATATCCAAGAGCCAGATTGCCATTCCAAGAGGTCGCACATGCCGGGGCTCAGGAGCTCCAAGCTGCTTGAATGCCGACCTCTTGGCCGATAGTATATTCACTCGGACACACACTTGCAGGTTCTTTTGGCCAGAGAAGTGGCTTTCTCACCCCTGAGGACCGAAAACTCCCAAACTGGCAGAGAATAGAAATAAGAGTACATGTGTTGTGGTTCTGTGGTCTTTAAAACCCACATTGCTTCCAAGAGAGCGGTAAAGGAGGCCTAGCCTAATGAGTAAAACCAACCCGGCTGATGCGAGCACTCCACCCCAAAGAGAACCGCATTAAGAACTCAGGTTTTGAGCACAGTGCCTGGTGGAAGAGGAGCTGGCACAGGATGCCTCTGCGGCAGACATTGGCTCTAGATTCCAAATAGTTTCGAAAACCTAATTCCAAGGTGACAGTTCACCTTCCTGCTCCATGCCTCTGTCCCAGGTTGATTCTATAGACGCCCCGACCTTCCAGGCTACACCGCTTGTTTGCAAAGAAACTAAGTCGGAGTGTTCCTACTTTGAGAAACCTCTGGCTTCAGGGCGCACGCGGAGGCGCGCCAGGCTCTCCACATTGGCGCAGCTGTGGCCCGCAGCCGGCTCTCCCGGTCCCCAACCCCACCTAGTCAGACGCCGCAACTTAGCTAACTGGGCCCCCAATCCCTGGAGACCGGCTCAGAGGCGAGGTCACCTGACTCACCGCAGGACCCGCCAGGACCATCAGCGCCCGCAGTTCCTCTTGGAAGCCGGACAGCAGCAGGCGGCGCAGGCCACGGCGCTCGGACACCGCGTCCGCGCCTCCCGGCCCGGGAGCAGACTCCTCCGGGAGCTCCATGTGGCCTTCGTGCTGCTGGGGGCTCGGACGCACGCGGCACGGGGACCCAAGGGCCTGGCCGATTCCAGTCTCCGCCCTCCCCCGCCTCCCCAAGCCCGCCCAGCGCTGGCAGGGTGAGTTGCAGTCTCTGTGACCTTGGACGCACCCCTTGCCCCTGCAACCCCGAGGTCCGTGCGTGCGCGTCTCCAAAGGCCAGCGCACAAACTCAGGACAGAGAAGTTTGCAGAAGTGCTGGAAGCGAATGGAAAGCGCACAGGGACAGGGAGGGACCTTCCAGTCCCCATCGCTGCCCAGGGGCAGGTTCAGAAATGTGTGGCTTGGAAAGACTTAAGAGTCCTGAGATGTGATTCACTATGGCCAGTCAGGGGTCCGATCATGATTCCACTGTGGCCAGCCCAGGGTCGGATCTGGCAGTTGTGGGTGTCCGAGGTCTCTGCTGTGCAGCTTGTGGTCAGCTTAACACACACTTTGTTGTGGGTTTGGACTTGACAACTGTTTTTCCCTCTTGACAGTTGTTCCATTAGAGAATATAGCATCTGCCAGGAGAGAAAAGCAAGCCACTGAACAGCCAGAAGAGTCAGGAGACACTGTGACACTGTGGTAGGAATTTGCAGGTTCAAAGGACACCAGCAAATGGGGGGGGGGGGATACAGATGTGCTGTAACCTCATTCTCCTCATCTGTAAACTCAAGATGCATCTCCCTCCCCACCCACTCCCGTTTGCCTTAGTCAAAGATTCCTGTGAGGTGCTAAAGTCCCTTCTGTGGCAAGTGAGCCTGAATAACAAATAATTAGCTCACTGTTAGTCTCATGCTGCTGTGACAACATATCCCAAAAACAACCTTAGGGAGCAGTGATTGACTTTGGCTCACGGCCTCAGAAGGCTCCATCCCCGTCCAGGCACTGTATAGGAACGATGCCGAGGAACCACATTTCTTACCTCATGACAGCCAGGAAGCAAAGAGACAAAATACCCTTCAAAGACATGCCTGTGTCACTCACTTTCTGCAGCCAGCCTAGTTTCCAGCACCTTCCAAAGGGAGGCCACCAGGTGGAGACCAAGGCTTCAACATAAAACTCCGTGAGAGACACTGAATAACTGAACCATACACGCAGGTAACCAGCAATTTTGTAGTCAAGATTTGAGGTTTGATTTTTAGTATTGGGGATATCCAACCCACCCCCATCCTCACACATGCTGAGCGAAAGCCCTACCACTGAGCTACAGCCATAGAGAATCCAAGGTTTTAAAATAAGATCAGTGTGGCTGGAAGTGGAATACTTGCCTCATATGTGTGAGGTCCTGGGTTCCAGCACCATGAAAAGAACAAACAAAGCATCTTAGTCAGTGTTCTGTTGCTGTGAAGAGACACCATGACCACAGCAACTCTTATAAAGGAAAACAGTTAACTGTAAGTTTCCCTTACAGTTTCAAAGGTTTAGTCCATTACCGTCATGGTGGGAAACATGGTGGCATGCAAGCAGACATGGTCCTGGAAAAATAGCTGAGAATTCTATATCCAGATCCACAAACAGCAGGAAGAGAGAGGAGGAGGGAAAGACACTGGGCCTGATGTGGGCTTTTGAAACCTCAAAGCCCACCCCCAAGTGACACACTTCCTCCAATCCTTCTCAAGTAGTGCCACTTCCTGATGAGCCTATGGTGGGAGGCATTCTTATTCAGACCACCACACAAACAAACAAGACCATTAATGCCCCCCGCCCCCCAGCCCCTTCACACCATCTGTGATTCTCCCCTTGGTCCTTATGCAGGTAAAAGCAATCTCCAATCTCATCCTCCCACTCTATAGGTCAGCTGCTAAGACCTTTCTCCCTTCTCTTCTGACTCCATTAACACAAAATGAGAGAGAGGAGGGAGTTGGCTCTCCTTAGATGTCTTGCCTGCTTTTACAATTACCTGGTCCAGGAAATTGGGTATACCCCGACTATACCCCAAGCTCGGTACCAAAGGGTTGGACCCTGTCTACGACTGGGGTTCCTCAACCAGGACTGCATGTGTGGAGCAGAGAAGCAGCTTCTCAGAGGAATTGGGGGTCTCCAAGCTGGAAGTCCAGGCTGGGCACGAAGATGCCCCTCCCTCTTCCTGTAGTTTATCCCCACCCTAGCCTCATTATATCAATGTCCTGCTGCACAGTCCTTGACAATGAACTTCTGCAGCTGTTTCTTGGTCTTTGGGGGTATCCTCCTGCTTGCTGAGCCTTGGTGTGTGACATGAGTCTTCTTGGGCACAGATTCAGGTATTTGTGGAACTTTCTGAGTTTGGTTAATGATGATGAGAATATGGACCGTGAATCTCCAGACAGCACTGATCCCAGAGGGCTTGGATGCCTTCCTGCCTGTTATTTTGGTGATAGGCAGCTGGGCAAGCGCCACCTTCAGGCTGCCCAGCTGTTTTAGCAACTCTTTCTCATAGCAAAGGTTGGAACTTTAAACATGACCACCCCAGCTGGCTCCGAGGGAGACAGCTGATACTGTTCTTCTGGGGTCTTCAGGAAACCCTCATGGGTGTAACACGATAGGAAGCATAAATGTGATATGTAAATATTGGGAAGGAAGAGGTAAAACCATTGCTTGCAATTGTAATTCAAGACTATCCAAAAGAAATCAAGTGGGGGAAAGCTGATGGATTTAATACAGGGATCTGGAATGATAGCTCCATGGACAGTGCTTGCTTAGCATGCGCAAGTCCATTAGTTTCATCCCCAGCACCAGAAAAAAAAAATAGAATTAAAAGAGGTTTAATGAAGTTCTATGTGCAAGCCTTTTGTGTTGGTTTCTACATGAAAACATTCTTCAAAGAAGTACTGGACACAATAGCAAGAAATTAAACCTCTTGGCCTCACTTCTTAAGTGTGATCTGGGCCTCATTCTACAGCACAGAAAGGAGGGATGGCCAGCTTCACAGCAGAGAACTCTGACAAGCACGACTTCCGTCAGAAGACGGAGGGTAACATCAGGAGGGCGGGGCAGCATGCGCCCGCCTCGGTGACCTGGGGCTTCTGAAACAACACGCCACAGGTTTGGAGGCTTCAGACAACAGCATTTTATTCTTTTACACTTCAGGCCAAAAGCCTGAAGCCGGGGAGATGGCAGAGCCAGTTTCTCCTTGGGGACTCAGGAGAAACTCTGGTGCACACCATTGCTGGCTTCCGGTGACAGCTGGTGATCCTTGTAGACCCGTGTGCTACGACTGAACGTGAAATCCACCCCACAGCCTTGTGTTCTGGATCTTTTAATAATTTTGGTTTTTTTTTTTTAGGGTGTATTTTATTTCAGTGACCGACAGTAGTGTCACAAGCCTTTCTTGGGACAGGAAAAGGACATTAGTAAGAACTAAGGAAACGCGAATTCACAGAGGCCTTAATTGTCATGTGTCCGTATCCCGGAGGTGACACACCGTTAGAAAGAAAAAACTAGAAAATTCAAGGTCTCTCAACATAAAACCAGCACAGAACTCAGATTTCCTTGGAATATTTTGTAAGTTTTAACTTGCAGAGGGGTGGAGGGCAGTGCTTAACACCTGTGTCATCCATGGAATGTTCTGGATGTTACACTGTTGCCAATTTTTCATCTCATTTGGGATTAAAAGAACCGATGCCACCCAGATATGGGACTGTGTGCCTGTGATCCTGGTACTCAGAAGCCTGTGGCAGGAGACTCAGTGGCCTAGAAGCTCAGACCCAGCATAGGCAGTGAAGTTCCTACCTCTTAAAAAATAAGCTGGGCATGGTGGTTCATGCCTGCAATCCAATACATGGGAAACTGAGGCAGAAGGGCTGCTGTGAATTCCTGGCCAGCGTGGGCTAAAAAGTGATACTGTTACAAAAAGCCAAAAATAATTAAATAATTAAAATAAAAATTAAGAAGGAAATTGGTAAAAAAGAATAGAAAGTTTTCTGTCTCCTGAAGTTATGGGCTAATGTGGCTTCAGTATGTCCCCCAAGCTTGTGCACTGGAAGCTTGGGCCTCCATGTTGTAGTCTTCAAAAGACAGAACCTTTAAGAAGTGGGCCCAAGGAGGGAGGGGACACTGTGGTCGGGATGTAAAATAGATAAATTTAAAAAAAAAAAAAAAAAAAAATAAATTTAAAAAAAAAAAAAAAAAAAAAAAAAAAGGTGAGCCCAGTGCTAATTAAGTCACTGGAGTGTAACTCTCAGAAGAGAGTCATATAATTCCCCAGGAGCCTGTTAGTTCCCACTGGAGCAAGTTCTGCATAGAGGGAGGGAGCCTGCCCCCAATCCCTCTGACCTGCCGTCTTGCCACGTGACATTTGCTATGTTACAGTGTAGCCAAAGCTCTCACCAGAGCTGGTGAGATGCTGGAGCTGTGTTCTTGAATCTCCTGAACTTTGAGTTAAATGCATCTTTTTTTCTTTATACATTCTCCGACATCAAGTATTTTGTTGTAGCAGTCCATCATAGAGTATACACTCCCACCTCAGTTCCGCCATCTCAAGTTCTTTTTTCTGACATTGACCCTTTTGCCCTCATCTTAAGGGCCCTTGCAGTTCTACTGAGCCCATGTAACAATCCAGAGTGATTGCCACATCTCAGGATGTTAACTTAGTTACATCATGCTTGTCATCATGTAGGATGACGCAGCCACGCATGCTGGGGATTAGGATACCTTTGGTAAGCATTATTCTGCATTTCACACTCATCATGTTCCCATTCTGTCTTCAGCTTCCTGGTTCTTTATTTTCATTAACTTCGTTGACTTTCTCAATAGGTTATATGGCATATACTTCCTGAATCTTTGCATACCGCCATGGTCACTATGGTTTCACGTATCAGATGGCAAGTCTTAAGTGCTCCTCTAATTCCCCTCGTATTCCAGGAAATATGGTGGGTGCTACAGTTAATTCCCCAATATTCTTTTCACACTAAATCATTTGTTTTAGGTAGTCACAATAATTTAATTTTCTTCATCAAGAAGGCCTTGGTGGGAATTTATAGGCATAGCCCAATTTTAACCACAAATATTTAACCAGTAAAAAATATTTCTGGAACAGGTTTCCTTGTTT